TGTGCTCGATCGAAGTGGAGAATCGTTTCAACGCCCGTTTAACGTCATCGTTTATATTATAAGGACACAAACGTAAGTTTTTTTTGGTTTCGTTTCTTGTTTGTCTAGCCTTTTTCCGTATTTATAGTTGTAAATTTCCTTTGTTTCCTTTTAGTTTTCGAAACCGTACAACGTTCGTTCAAGATTGTAAAGTCCATTTCATAATTACAAGTACGCGTGTTCAAGTTTGTGTTGTCGTACCGTTTTATGCGTGCACAGTATGCATACTTTTCACTTGATTCATGTTATCAATAGAGAGGGACTAATGTCTTAACCCTCGTAGCTTAGCGCTTCGGTCGACACTTCCTGTTTGTTTAAGAGATGCTCGTATCTTACGAATTGGAGCTCATAATTACTCTTGATATCACTATCGGTAGTTTTTTATGTTAACTGATTCACTTATTTGTTATTACTTTGTGGAATTTGGCTGGATTCGCTCGGCTACGAGGTATGAAATATGCGTTCTAAGAGACAAATGTTTGAAATTCGTGGACATGGGTTGATGTCAGATTTTAGAGTCTGTTTTGAAAGATCTTGACATTATTGATAGGCGCTTGCACAATATGATAATGGACAGTAGTCTGTTGAAGCGTTTTCGATTTCAGATGAATTTTCGTCTTTTAACTTGACCTTTCATCGTAGTAATCCGGTGCGCTCCGCAATCAAACAAATCATCACGAGCGATGTGAAATCAAACTGTTTACATTCCGATGCGTAAACACTGAAGCGGGCGCGTGTTGCAATAAATAAAACAGAAAATCATTCACAATCGTAACCAGTATATTTTCCTTCTGATCCTCATCGAAGGTGATCGAGGCAGGTTCGAAGTTTCGAAGAATTCGTCAGCCCCATACTACTGTAAAACAAATCTGTTTTTCCAATGGCAATGTAACGTGGTTGTCATTGTTCTCTCTATCCAAGAACTGAATGCATAATGTAGTATGGAACTGTGCGGAAATTTTACCATGCAAAGACCAAATTGTTTTGATTCCGCGACGTAAACATCTTGGGGAGTGTTGATTGCCATGAATTAATTGGGAAGCATTAATTACGGAGTATTTGTTTCATTACTTGCTCAATGAAACACGTGTTTCGATGCCATGAGTAATAGACATTCTCTTTCCCAACTGATTCATCAACAACTCAAATCCAGCAAATCTACTGCTAAATTCGCGAAGCGACGCGACATGCGTGAGTGTAGCTTGATGGCTTTTTTCTCTATGTAAATTTTCCGTTCTCCACTCGCTGCGTTTTCAAATCTGAAAGTTCTTTGTTTCACATAGTAATGTAATATAAAGGAAACTTGTAGCACTGAATTACAAAGGCACATGAGTTGTGCATTTTTTCCGACCGTGCCGTTAATGAGGATTTAGTTCCTCTCTGGCTTGACCCTTTTTGCCATTTTGCATTTCGATGTTATTTTTATTTTTTATCTGTCTGTATATATGTTTTAATTATTATCTCTGCTTTTTTTATATTATTATTATTATTATCTTATAATTTAGGCAAATGAAGTTATTATTATAAAGTAAAAAAAATCCTATATACGCGTCTGACTACCCTGCGTCTGAGCGTGTGAAATTCGTCTGCGCAGTTGACGTGCAGTCGCGAGCGGTACTGTAGTGCTTCGGTCAGCACCTTCTGCATGTTTGTTGAAGACATCTCTGTATTTGCCAACCAATTGCTCATTTGTAATAGTGGCCTAATTCATTTGGGCCTCCAGATTGGAAAGGTGTTTTCAAATAGTACAAAGTCAATTTTCTAGTTTACTCCTGGCTTGTTGAGAATTTAATTTGATACATTCCTTCATTTTGAGCCTAAGGAACAACTGATACATGTCTCTCTACTCCAGAAATACTGAAAACTGCTGCTTATAAGCCGCCCCTCTTAAAAGCCCCAGTCCAAGTTGTCAAGTCTTTCACATGGAGCGTGAGACCTCATGCAAACAATTTTAATATTATGTTCTCAAGCTGAAACTATTGTTTCTTATAGCAAACTGCTGCTTTTGTAAACCCTTTAGCTCCCAAGATCTGAGTTTCAATTCTTCCTTCCAGCTGCTACACATTTCTTTGCTAATAAGTTACAAGAATTTGTTGTTAGATCGAGATAACAACTTTGACCTGATAAGTATGACTATTCTCATGACATGTTTTATATTATAGGGAGGAGCTACTCGTTTATCACTTTTGGGAGTTTTATTTATTATCCTTTTAAGTATAATTTACTCCTTGTTCCCTTCAAACTTGCTTAAAAGTCTTTCCAGCAGTGGAAATGTTTGCTTATACTAATGTTGCCATAGCAACTTCATATTTGTTTTCACAATTTTTTTTTGGGGGGGGGGGGGGAGTATGCCCCCATTCTCCCTAAGGATGGTGATGCCTGTTGCATCCCATTTGAATGCTAATATGCAGGTGATAATCTCAGTCTTGAAGGTAGCAAAGGGAGGTTGTGTAGTGTGAGTGTTGTGGAATTGTGTGGGTTCCCCCTGCCCCATTTGACTTTTAACCTTTAACACCCTAAGACATTGGTATTCATATTCTCCACACTGTTCTCTTTACATTTCCTATGGAACAGACAAGGAGAATTTGTCAAAGAAGTATATTTGATTGTGAAGTAAATGGAAGAGTCAGTTTAGAACATTACAGCTACAAATGCAACAATTATTTAATTAGTGTTTTAATTGATGAAAATCTTTCTTGGAAAAACCATGTTGACTGTGTTATCACCAAAATGAGTAGGAACATACAAATGATTGCTAAGTTGATATGCGTTATTACATCTTCTGTTGTCATAAATATCTGTAAATCCTTATTTTTACCTAATATATCTATATTAGACTCGCTGCTTGGGGCAATACATCTAAAACATATATTAAGTAAACAAATTTGTTGTTCTCCAAAAGTGCGTATTGTGTTTAATTTGCTCTGCTGATAGAAAAGAACATGCTATCCCTTTATTTATAAATGCAAAAATTCTACCTATTACCATCTAATATTATGAAGCTGTATATAAATTAATGCTGAATATTGATAACAACAGAGCTTATTAGTGCACTTTCTAACATCATAAAATTTTTTATGGGAACATTAAACAATTATACCCATTTACTACCACTGCTCATCAATGTCACAAGTGCTTCAGGTTTCAAAATCTGGAATGAGATGCTAAATATCAATAGAAAGTTTTGTCGAAGAAATCCTTCAAAAAAGAAACAAGAAAGCTTTCTCAATATTCTAGAGACTGAAGATTCTTATTTCAAGCCTGATGAGATAATGTGTTATATAAATTCAAACACTGCAAAATTGAAACAAATTGTACTTGCAGTTGAAACAATATTTTTATTGTGCACTTAGATACTCAAGGACTTTTTATCTTTTACAATGAATGTCTTTCATTTTCCATTTTCTTTTCTTGTGTATCTTTTAATGTTTTTTTAAATGTATTATTGTCATATTAATTTTACTGTCAACAAAATCTGCTCAAAATTTTCAATTTTTTTTAGAGAAATTAGTTTTAACTACTTAAATGGTTTATTTACAAAAAAAATCTTAAAAAGAAGGTGAGATACAGCTGAAAGGATGTTTTAGTATAAGCCTGTATGAAGAGTGAAAGGTGTCATCATGGGAAATGCCTCAGACAGAGTGTTGACGTTTTCTGCAGGCTTTCATCCAGGATCCCAATTTGCATATGTTGTTTTCATCACATCTTGCACTGCACATTCACTGGGAATCTCTGGCCCATTTTGCAAAACATTGAGTAATGAGAGCCTAAAAGAGTTCACTAATAAGAGGGAGAGAGCTCAAGCCAAAGAAATTGAAGTTAAGTTGTTCATTTTCCAGAGCTTGCTTGGTGACTTTTGGATTATGTTTAACTCATGTTCCTGTTTCATGAAATGACCTTTCCAGCAAATTTCATTGGAGTTCTTTGTCAGTTAAGGCTTAATTGCCACAGGATTCCACATTGTGTCTCATTGTTCATTCATTTGACACTTGCTTTCTAAAAGGAGATGGGAAACTGTAAATTTCTTTGGTGGCCAAAAACTAGAAGTTTGTTATTATACAAGTTACCTGTACATTAATAGGATATGTAGATTTGTTGGACTTTTGTGAAAATTGGCTTGTATGTCCATTGGTAATTATCACACAAAAGTACATGAGGTTTCAAAGAAATTCTAAATATTTCTCTCATAATTCATTGGAGTTTGAAAACAACAGAAATATTTTCTATTGTCCAACTTCACAATGTATTTTCTCAGGAAACAATAAGAATCTCAAAATTGCCTGACACACTTTGTTAGCCTATTATCTGCTGAGTGATACTGTACAGTTTGTTTCAAGGTCTGGGGTAACACAGAGGCTGGTAATTCAGTGAAGCAAACACTATCAATGTTGCATTTAAATGCTTACATGCACATACCAAAACAAAAACTGTGAAAAATGTTATTTCCATAATCTGTACTTTATAAGCTTTACTGTGATGTATTTTTTTCTGTTGTAATCTGATCACATCTTTATCGTCAAATAAACAGATATCAAATATTGTGCATGTAAGTTTTCCCTGTACCTTTTCACTTCATCTTTGATTAAACTAGCCATGATCTACTGAAGATCTCTGTTAATAACAGTTTCCTTAATTAGTAGTAGCACAAGTAGGAAGATTTTTCCAGAAGGCAGCCTATTTTGTTGACAGCAATCTTAAGTAAAAATTTGACCAGCCAGGATTTGCATCTGCTATCTGCAAGTTGAAGGAATATTTTGTATATTGAATATGAGAAAATAGATAAAGTGTGAGGTGAGAATCAGGAACTTTTTAAATTTTTGATGATCTCCTTTATTCTTGTGACTCATACATTTGATTCAAGGATGATACTGTAAGGAGAAATTAGAAGCCAATCACAGCTCTTAGAGGTTAAAGGGTTAAAATGGAAGATGCAGCAAACTTATTTTATTGATCTGTTGCATGATATTTAACTCATTGTTTGAGTGCTGTAATATTCTGGTGTTGCAAAGTTAGAATAAAGTAATAATTTTTGTGTGTGCTCTATAAATGTTGCCTTCCATGTATTAATTACAAGCATTTCTTTACAGAGGACTTGATTTCATGGCTTCTGCCACCCCATCACAACCTTCTACCAAGGAGACCTCTAATTATGCCCAGCTCTGTCGCCTTCTTGTTGAAGTTGGATCACTTATGCTAAGGGAGATCTTTGACCGGGTATGTCCACCAGAAAACCTTCATGCAGTTCTGACTAATCCCACAAACCATGCCAAACTACAAACATTGCGAAAGAAGAGAGTCCTGAGTACCTTCCAGTGGGGGAAACTGTATCCTGTCTCCAAAACATCAGTTTCCTCAGGGAACTTTGACACCTCCTTACTGCTATTTCTTCTGAGGAATATCTTTGGTCTGAATTTCCCTGCCTCTGGCCGGAATAACCTTCCTCCAGGATCAGACACCTCTCCAGAAGCTGACATCACTCGCATCAAGTTTTTCAGGGACAGAGTTTTCAGTCATGCTGCTAATGCTTCAGTTGATGATCCAACCTTTAGTTTGTACTGGAACAACATCAAAGACACTTTTCTGCGTATTGGAGGGACCTGCTATGAGGAAGTCATAGATGATCCTACACTCCACTGTATGGATGCTGATCTTGAAGAACACTACCAAGAGCTTCTGAGAGAGTGGTTGAAAGATGATGACCGTATCACAGACAAAGTGCATGAAGACAAAATTGTGAAAAAGGCCAGGAAGGGAGGGGACATGGAGAATTCCTTTGACATTTCTGAACAAAATTCATGGGAGAGAGGTGTGTGTTATTCTTTTTTCAAACCTGAGTTTTAAATTAACTTAAATTTGTTGAGTCAATAATGAAGTCATACTGGATTGTTAGATGAAATGAATTTCCAGCAGATTTTTTAAAAGTCACAATTATGCATTATTGAAGTTGTGAATCTTTATTACCTTAAGCTAAGTCAACTGTTACATCCATAATTTGCTTTTGTCTTCATCTTTTTTATCTTTTGATTTTTATTTCAGTAATTGAAGTAACTTTCACATACAAAAACTACAACCTTCTTTTTCAGAGACAGTATTAATGCCAGGGGAAAATACATCAGCAGAGAATGGCAATGGCAGCCCACCAGAGCTCAGTGTGAAACTTCCAAAGTTGTGTGATCTTCCAGCAATCTCTTCTTCTTGGGAAACTGTTGAACTTCCTGTTGATATTGTTTTATTAGCAGTGGAGGACTGTGAGTTCTTAAGTTGTTTTGCCTACCTGAAGGAACCCTTTAAGAGTTACCACATCAGCACTGGCCCTGTGTACTTTGGGTGCATGGGTGATGATCAAGGAAAGAAAATGAAAATTGCATTGATGAGGTGCTCCAAAGGTCCTGGTGTTCCTGGGGGTGCCTTGTCTGTTTCAAAAGATGCCATCTCAGTACTGAGACCCAAGGCTATCTTTTCTGTTGGTGCCTGCAGTGGTTTGAATAGCAAAAAGGTCAAGTTAGGAGATGTGGTTGTTTCAGCAAAGCTGATAACAGCTGTATACAAAACTCCCCCCAGCAGAGATATTGGTAACCTGATCAAACATGTGGCTGATGGGTGGAAGGCACCTTTACAAAATGCTGATGAATATAATGCCAAAGTGCACTGTGATGGAGTGGTTCTGAGTATCTCAGAGGCAAACAGAGATATGATTAGGAAACATCCTGAAGCAATTGCAGTTGAAATGGAAGGTGGAGGTGAGAATCATAATAATACAAATAATTGATGAGCCAAGCACTTTTGCACATGTAGCAAATGTTTTGAAAAACACTGCTCTGGTATTGTCTCTGCTGGTCCAAGCATACACCATATAACATGCCAAATTTGCAGGAATTGTGTATCTTGTATTTAAAGTGATTTGATGTTTGGCTGGGTGAGAAGATTATTTCACAGGTGAAGGTGACTGAGACTTCTTCTGGATAACTAGATTGAATTTGCTCCATTAGGATGTCATGAATTATTTTAAATTTGTCACATGAAAAATGTAGAAAGTATCTTGTTCAATAGTTTGAGAGTTGAGGAATAGTATCACAGTCCCTGTTAACCCTGAAACTCCCATGAGTGACCAAGATAGAATTTCTCCTTACAGTTTCAATATGATATTAAGCAGACAAGTAATGGGAAAAGAAAAAAGTGTGAATTAGGGGATTATTGGTTGATCCAAAACTAAATTCTCCTAACTAACATCATAGGAATTTTATGACATACATTAACCCTTTAACTCTTAGAAGTGATTAACATGTAACTTCTCCCTATAATATCCATACGTTATCCAGCAAACAGGTAGTGAGAATACTGAAACTCATCAGGTAAAAGATAAAATTACCTTGATAAAACATCCAATTTTTTTGTAACCAATTTACAAGGAAATGTGTAGCAGCTAGAAGGGAGAATTAACAATCAGATCTTGGGAGTTAAAGTGTTAAAGAGGATCATTAAAGAGATCTTAGGAGTGAAAGGGTTAACTCTAACTGACAAAACTTTGTCTTTTGAAAAATATTGAAAGTTACTTTATATGAAACAAGATGAAGCCTGAAGAATAGTTTTACAGTCTCAGTGTACAATTTTTTTTGATTACTGGTTGAAAAAAATTAGGTTTTTTCTGTTCCAACTAATGTCTTTCTGCAATGTGCATGTTTACAACAGCAAGAGTGCAGCTAGAGTGTGACTCTTTGTGAGCTTTGATTGAACAATTACATGTATTTTAAAGATGCGAAGAAAATAAGCTTAAGATATAGTTAACAGACATTACTGTTTATTTGTTTTGTTTTTTAGGAGTGTATGCAGCAGCCCATGATTTTAAGACAGAATGGGTGGTAGTCAAGGGCATCAAAGACTTTGTAGATGAAACGCACTCTTCAAGTAAGAAATGGAATGAAATTGCCTGTGTGATGGCAGCTTCTGTTGTGGCCAACATTTTGAATGATCCAGTCATATTCCAAGATTGGCCTCATTTTAATGCAGGTATTGCTTCCTGTCTCAATCTTCTCTTTTTACAAGGATAGGTCTGACTTAGATCTAAGTTCCCTCAGCATATTTTTGTATGAATTATAAATCAACATGATTTAATCAGTAATAGTTGACAAAGAGGAAATTAAGTTACCCTTATTTTGAGTTTACATACCAGTAAGTGGCTAAAGGTGATGGGAGAAAAAACTTGTGGTTAAATTGAGTGATGTAATGATGAATGACAATTCACTCCATGAGCCACGTGAACTGGCCTGTTTTCTATAGTTAGCTTGGTTTATGTAACACCACCAAAATATGGAAAATTCAGAGGCTAATGACATCTGCCAAAGTGATTTGAAGTGATTTGATATATGTTCCTGGGCCAATAAGAAACAAATCAAATTGTTTTAAACTAAAAAAATTGATTAATCCAGTACTACATGTGTGACTGTATTTTGATGGTGAAACTATTGGAATGGAAAGGGAGGTGATAAATACCAGCACATATGTTTATGGTTCTGTTTTTTGTTGTTGTTGTTGTTGTTTTTTTTTAACCCTTTATGGAACCTGACATGTTAGTAGATTGAGACAAATAAATCAGATTGTAGGTAAATTTCTTAAGAGCTAATGTCAGCATGCATCAAACAAACAGCGGCAAGTCACCCAAATTTGTTTCCCCTCCTTTCGTCCTTTGAATTTCTCTGTCACGCTTGTCACGCACTGATATAATAAGTTAGAGAAGATAAATAAACTGAAACTCAAATCTGGCTGCAACGTGGTAGAGCATGATTAACGTGATCATCGAAACAGCTAATAAAATCATAAATAAACAAGGTAAGAGTGTTATGTTAGACTTTGTACAAATTGTAGTGATTTACGCCAATTAACGGTGGCGACAAGTAGGCGCACCATGTACATTTCATAGTCGCTATCAAGTAAATTTTGCCGGACTTTGAGTTCGTCTCAAGATAGAACAACACAAATACACAAGGAAATTTTTACAGTAACTTTATAACCATCCTTTGGTCTTTTAAAAGCTTGAAGCTCAGTAGATTGTGTCATATCAGTCATTGTTAAAACTGTCTTTGTTTTGATGCTACTTTTCGACATAGGAAAAGTATGTCGGACAAAAATATTCACCAAAAAATAAATATTTCTTTGGCAGCTTCAATAACGATAGGGGATTAAGTCTAGATGATAAAGCAAAGGCTTATGTTCACAGAAATACCGTAGGTCTAGTACATTCATTACATGAGGTCACATAAGGTCGAAAAATGAGGTCGCTCACCTCATGTGAAAAATTAAGAATTAAACCCAAATGTCCAGACTGTGTTTTCATCGGCAGTATCTTCGTCTGTTCGTGAGTACTCGTGTACAACTGCTGGAGTGCACTTTTGTGATTTCTAAAAAATTCTTACTAATGCAGGCTGTGTTAGTAAATTGAAATGAAGGAGGAGAGACGCTTTGGCGTATGTGGTTATTTTAATTTTCCCAGAGCGAAAAACTGTGAACTTGAAACTTCACAATGCATTGCAGCCGGCCTACTGGTTTGTTCCAGCGTTTGGGATCCTTTTTCTATGATTAAACGACGTGAAAACGAGGGCGGAAAAGCGTTCTTTGTTTTGTTTTTAATTAGTTCTTACAATGGTCTTTTTTACCGACAAAAATCTTACTCAGACTATCGATTCTAATGATATCAATATTTATCTCCCGAGTTTCACTATCAGAAACCGCTGTAGCCGAGCCATAAGTTTTTTTCGAATATTGTATAAAATTTAAAAACAACAACAACAACAGAGGAAAGGAAAAGGATCTATTTAGTTAACTTTTAATGAATAAAGTGACTCTCACTCGGACTAAAAGTTCCAATGTTATTCCACGAAAGGGTCTGTTAACTTTTAATGAATAAAGTGACTCTCACTCGACTAAAAGTTCCAATGTTAATGATAGGCGAAATGGTAAAGATGGACAGCGAACTGAAAGAAGTGAAGGAAAAGCTGTGTACTTTGACAGCCTCAGTGGGAGAAAGCAAGGATGAAGGTCAGTTGAATTACACAATAAAAGTTATCCTGCTTAACCGCAAATTTCGCCGTAGTCAACATGGCCTGTATGTGAGAGAGGGAGAGATCATCCTATGTTAAAGAGATTCAGTTTTTCAATTTAGACAATCTCTGGAATAATCTCTACGGTGTGCTTTCATTCCCTCCAATTGTTCAAACTTTCACCCGTAATTAGCCTGGAAAACTTTATATTTTGATTAGAGTGGAGAACGAAATAAAACGAAGTACAGTTTTAACGAAAACATTGGCATTAACATTGGCTCGATGTTAGAAATTAACAGAGCAGGTTCCACTGCATTTACAAGCCAAATAGCTTTTGGTCAGTAAATTGACATGAATCATACATTGATACCTTTTTCATCGTCCAAGTAATTTCTTTGGCAGTGGTGTCGTACTCGTTCGCTAATTTAAATTCAGTGCCGAATTCCTAGTAGCATTAGATGTAATCCGCATATTTCTGAATAAAATAACTAAACCCTTCCTACGCTCATATTGTGGAGTATTCAATTCTACATGGGAAAATAGTTGAATGAGGATCGTCTTGAGTAAAATAGGTTCCTAAGGAAAAGACTGTAGGAAAAACCTCCCACTTCATCGCAGGCGAGTCCCCGGTTTTCTGCAGCACTTTTGATGAAACCGCGTGACAAAGAAGGCACAAAGGCGTTGTTTGGTTTCCATTTATTTGTTCGTAGTCTCGGTATATCCCGAAAAAGCCTTTCTCAGACTACGGCTCCAATGATATGAATATTTATCTCCCGAGTAATTTATTTTACGACAGAGTTTCACTGTCAGACACCCTTAAAGCCGAACAAACAGAGTAGGTTTACCTGAATTCATAATCTAAATGGCTTTTAATCAGTAAGCATGAATCATACACTAAAAGCTTTTTGCATCGTCCAAGTAATTTCTTTGGCAACGGTATCGTACTCATTCACTTATTTAAATCCAGTGCCGAATACCAGAGAGGCACCACAATTTTTAATGCTGCATTCATTAGATTTCTTACTTATTTTGCTACTGCTAGGTATTTTTGATCCGACTGAGCTTATCAATGGAATTCGCCAGCTTTACAAGACTCGCGAGGGATGGCTCTCACCATTTCCATGGTGTGAAGAGTTTCAGTTTTTTCTTGGAAATATTTTTACAAGGCTCAAAGTGGTCAGAAGAAAGAAAACGAGAGGAGAAATCACTGACGTATTTGTTGACATGTCGTCAATACTAGACCCGTATGAAGAGTGTTCAGCGCCGAGAACAGTGTTGATTGAAGGAGAACCTGGTATGGGAAAAACCACCTATTGTAAAAAGTACGCCTACGACTGGGCCACAAAACAGCAAGAACCTCAGGGCTGCGGCTCAACAGCATTTAAAGTGGTATTGTTACTGAAATGTCGAGATATCCATTCTGACGTTTGGGAAGCTATTGATGATCAGCTTCTGCCCCGAGACATCGATGAAGAAGTCAAACAACAATTCTTTCATTTTATTCGTGAAAATCAGTCCAGCATTTTATTGATATTGGATGGATTGGATGAGTTACCGTCCAGTAAATTGTCGATGTTTTCCGAATTAATTGAAGGAAGAGTGCTCCCCAAATGCCACATAGTTGCAACAGCAAGACACGAAGCTGGAAAAGAGGTGAGAAAATGTTGTGACGTGCTGCTTCAGATCGAAGGATTTACTGAAGAGCATGTGAAAGGATTTGTCACCAAGTACTTTAAAGAAAGGACGGATTTAGCCACCAAGCTCTCGCAACGGATGTCGCGAGATAAAAACCTGAGAGAAATAGCGGCCAATCCTCTAAACACAGCACTTCTTTGCCTTTTATGCGAAGAGTTTGAGGGCACACTCCCCGAAAGCAGAGCTCAACTGTACTTGGATATGGTTGAATGTGTTTTGAGAAGATATAGAAAAAGGAAGGGACTACTAGAAAAGATCGAAGACTTGACAAACCATTACAAACCGCAATTGAATCACCTTGGAAAGGTAGCGTTGAATGGTTTACTTGACGATAAGTTGGATTTTAATGAAAGTGAATTGAGAAACCATGCAAAAGACCTGACTGAATTTGGATTTCTGTCAGTGCAGCCTGGTGGCAGCAAACTGAGACAAACACTGCACTATGCCTTCTTACATAAAAGTTTTCAAGAATTCTTTGCAGCATTCTTCATTTGTTCTCAGATTCAAAGCAAGGAGATGAAACCTGAAGAACTAGTTTCCGATCCAAGGTATTTCGTTGAACTTAAACAAATACTTTTGTTTTCATGTGGAATTTTGGCCATGAAATGCGATGAACAGGTTGTGGCTCTTGTAAAGAGTTTAACAAATGAAGTCAACAAAAATGAAGGCCGTGGTGCAAAAATTGTATTGGAGGCCATCAACGAATGCAAAAGAGAAAAAAGTGATTTTCACTCGCATTTATCGAAGTCGTTTGGAACTGGTTTGAATCTGACCAATTTGGATTTGTCTTACAATGGTATTAGTGATGCGGGTGCTACATGTATTGCTGAGGCAATCAAAGTGAACAAGACGCTAACCAATTTGTATTTGCGAGGTAATGGTATTAGTGCTGCGGGTGCTACATGTATTGCTGAGGCAATCAAAGTGAACAAGACGCTAACCAATTTGTATTTGTCTGTGAATGATATTAGTGCTGCGGGTGCTACATGTATTGCTGAGGCAATCAAAGTGAACAAGACGCTAACCAATTTGGATTTGTCTGAATGGTATTAGTGATGCGGGTGCTACATGTATTGCTGAGGCAATCAAAGTGAACAAGACGCTAACCAATTTGTATTTGTCTGACAATGGTATTAGTGCTGCGGGTGCTACATGTATTGCTGAGGCAATCAAAGTGAACAAGACGCTAACCAATTTGGATTTGTCTGGGAATGGTATTAGTGCTGCGGGTGCTACATGTATTGCTGAGGCAATCAAAGTGAACAAGACGCTAACCAATTTGGATTTGTCTGTAAATGGTATTAGTGATGCGGGTGCTACATGTATTGCTGAGGCAATCAAAGTGAACAAGACGCTAACCAATTTGGATTTGTCTGTAAATGATATTAGTGCTGCGGGTGCTACATGTATTGCTGAGGCAATCAAAGTGAACAAGACTAACCAATTTGACGCTAACCAATTTGTTTATTTCACTGTTGTTTTCAAAGTGAACAAGTTACGTTAAAGGCCCATTTTCAATTTGATGCAGACCCAATAATCGTCTTTCTCAAGGTGCTACATGTATTGCTGAGGCAATCAAAGTGAACAAGACGCTAACCAATTTGGATTTGTCTGACAATGGTATTAGTGATGCGGGTGCTACATGTATTGCTGAGGCAATCAAAGTGAACAAGACGCTAACCAATTTGGATTTGTCTGACAATGGTATTAGTGATGCGGGTGCTACATGTATTGCTGAGGCAATCAAAGTGAACAAGACGCTAACCAATTTGGATTTGTTCAACGTTCAGAAGTGTACAATACTGATATTAGTGGTTTTCATGCGGGTTTTTATAGGGAAAAGCTTGCCCTCGTGACATTTGTAACTTGCTGGTTTTATCTCTCGTTGGTTTGGTGACTTCGCTTAATATGTGAAAATCAGATTAGATGAAGACTTGAAATTCTATTAGGAACATTGTATTTGTTAAAAATCTGCAGGCAATCAAAGTCAACAAGACGCTAACCAATTTGAGATTTTGCAGCCAATGAGGGCGTAGTCTGCCTAGTGACCTGCGGGTTTTTTCTACATGTATTGCTGAGGCAATCAAAGTAACAAGACGCTAAAAAGTCTGGAAAGTTCACAGAAACCGAATTCATCTGCACCTATATTCAGCAAGTCCAAAAATTAATTCAAACCTAAGCCATAACATGAATGAGCTGGCTCCAAGAGCCCTTTGATTTTCATTACTTCAAAGTTTCGAGCGTCTCTCTTTCATTAAAAACCAAGACAAAAAACATTCATAGGCATTGTTTTTAACTCGTGAATTGCGCGCATGCGCAAGAGCGAGTTATAGATACGATGTGGGGAATGGCATTCGCTCGCTCGCACGCTCGATTGGTCGATTCCTGTAAACTTTTTTTAGATTTTAGGCTTTTGAGTGCATTTTATAGTTTTTGGCGAGCAATAAACAGACGAAATGGCGACCTTTGTTGCTAAGAATAGTGGTGGGGTGAAAAAGAAGCCAATTATAATCTTAAAAGAGTTTTTTTTTTCGTTTTAGTTTCAACAAGCGGCGCCAGCGACTGGCAGGCATGCAAGGATTCACACTGAAATGACAGAACAACCTTCGTTTTTCATAAAATTGTAATTTACAATCCTTGAACTTGAAAACAATCCGAAGATTCATTGAAAATATCACTTACTGCGAAGCGCTCGGAGTTTACAGATGTTCAAAAGCTTTTTCTGTTATAGCGTGAGATTGAGGACAAAATTGATCATTACGTTTCGTCGCGTGTGTTTTTCCTGTGTGAAGCAACAGAAGATGCCGGCGACTGACGAAATAACAAGTTAACACGAAAATCAAATAACACGTAAACAAACAATTTTAGCTACCGATTTTCAGTGAATTTTTAAAGAACAATTTTCTTTTAAGTTTCAAGACAATTTGAAGATTCAACATACATACAACGTACTAAAATGCGAAAGTTACACACCACAAAATTGATAAATAGGCCTGAAATGAAATTCTATCTTGTATTGATTATACGTTGCCTAGCACGTGACTTAAATCTACCCAGGCGGAGATCCAAAATGACGGTGGCAGACTTGGCTTAGTTATATCACTCAAAACTCGTTCCCGTTTGTCTCATTTGATAAAGAGGGAATCGTTAATGTTTTCATTAAGACAGTATTGCCTTGATTTTCTAATATTTACAACGAAAGACAGTAAATTTCACTTTTCACCCACATTTACTTCCAACCTTTTCTTTTGAACCAGAAACAAAAATGATAGACGTTTAAAACACATGACATCATCCACCTTGTCAAATGTAATAGCATGATCATTTCAATTGTAATGCCTTCTTATCCCAACGTTACTTTGTTTCTTTGCTACATTAGCGAACACTGAACTACTGCTCGTACTCTAGATATGACAATCAACCACAAAATTCCCTAAACCAGATAACATTAAACATAATCTAAAATATCATGTGTCAATTCACGAGTTTGCTCACAGAGCACTTTGATTTTATTTCTGTTGCGAGCTGCAGAGCCATTCAATAAAATTTGATCACTAAAAGCTTCCTGAACGGGAGATTTGTGGGGTGGGGGGGGGGGGAATTGACAATAGGGGGGAGGTGGGGACACAATAGGGGCGAGGTAAACAAAGTTGTTGTGGATAACTCTAAAATGGTAATGTGTGCCGGCGGATGCCTACTTCCGCAGAGGCCTAGTACTTAATGACGAGTTAGAAGAGACCCAGATATAAAGGGATGATTGTCGATTTCCTACCTGTTTCAAGACCTTGGGGAAATTAGCTGGCTGCAGGAAGATCAGGATTGGCACCAATTATAAATTCTTTCATCGAAGATTCCTAAAAAAAATCTTTTCAAAAACTAGAATAAATTTGCTTTCAATTTGTCAAAATTCCAATCGAGTGCACGAGGTTTTTGCTCGAGTGCACGGATGTTGAAAGTCTGTTAGTGTGCTAACTACCAGGCGGATTCCTTTGTTGAGATCCATCGGAGTATCGTGTAAACCATAAATTTTAACCATACTTTGTGGCCGGGCAATTTAAAGTAAAATGACAATTAATTATCGGACCTTTATAAGCCTACATTGTGAATTTCAGATCAGGCCAACGGCATGGATGAACACATTCAGTATCTGCCTTGAGGAGAAAAACAAGGAGTCAAAAGTGTGGCAGCATGGCACCATGACTGCATTGGATTGGCTGAGGATTTTCAGAAATCTTGGAAATCTTAGCAAGGTATAGTGTATGCAAACATTTGTTTGTTTCACTTTTTGGTGTATTTTGAAACAGGCACAAATGATATACATGTACTTAATTTATAGTTACTTCAACATTTAAAAGCTATTAAAGAAGGGCAAAAAATATCTTTGTAGTTCATTACCTTTTGTACATAACATTGTGAATCATTGCTAAGAGTTAGTAAAAGCTTTTATCTCCAGGTTACTTGGTTTTCTTCTCTCCTAAAATCCTAAAAATTTTTAAACACAAATTTGGTCTGATTCAGAAGACCTGCTTGAAACTATCTGTGAGTAGTTTGGATTCCTCTTTAAATACCTCATTTATTTTATTTATATTTAGGTGAGAAATTGGCTTTTCTCCCTGCTTGGATTGCATAATCCCAAGGATGAAGCATTGGACTCAAGAAGAAAGCATGATTTTGTAGATGAAGTGCTAGCATGGCGCATAAAGTTACGAAAAGAGAAGTAAATGACACAATACCTTTTAGTATAAGCTATTCAGCTCCAGTATGTAATAGTAGTGGTGTAAATTAAAGAGCAATTCTCAATGCAATAGTTGGTTCAATAAGTTTATTTCACTGCTTTTCCTTCAAAGGTATTTGCAAGGAGGGTTGTCAAATGTTGTAACATCCTTGGAAGGCCCTGAACTGGACAGTGATTTGAAAAATTATGAGGAAATTCTTAGAAGGAACAGAAGCAACTTGCTTCATACACACTTCATTGATGGCAAAAAAAGAGCAGATACCCAGTTGCAAGTGCTATATGTAACTACAGAAGACAGAGCTTTGGCAGAAGACATAAGGAATGCATCCAAAGATGAAATCCTCAGGAGAATAGCTGAAAAGCTTCTGCTGCTCACTTGAGGAGACAAGGGAGCCTCTGTCAAGCAGATTTGGAGCTATCAAAGCACAGCCCAGCAAAGTTAAAAAGGAAACTTTGTTTTGTTGTACAATGAGATTGTGGAAGAGCTACAGAACCAAGAGACACAGGAAGAGGTGTGTATCCTTGACACCATTGAGGAAGATAGAGAAGCTGATTGCAGCACGAACTGATTTATTTCTATGTCAGTTAATGTTAGTTGACATTTACGTGTAGGTCTGGTACAATTTCATATTTATTTTATTGTACCCCATGAAAACCCTGGGTAAGATTGTTTGTAAGGTGAATTTCAATGCCCAAGCTCTGCCACTGATTTTACAGTGGTAAGTCAACAGTGCACTGATTTGAATAATAAGGATTTGGTAAGATTGTTCCTTTTCACATAACTGTAGGTGACTCAAAATCTAACTGGCTAGGTAATGTAGCAGTTTTCAGTTTTTGACAGAGTTAAATTAGAAACTTGCGATATTTCAGGAAACCCAGTATTTGTGAGAGTATGAGACATGAGAAAACATTTTAAGGGTTGGTTTCATGTAGAAAAGGAGAAAACAAAGAACAAAATTTTACTTGTGCTTTTCTTGTGCTACCATTTATATGCATATAATGTACAAACAGTACATGGCTGTATTTCATGCAAATAGGTTTAAATATACATCCTGTAAGAGGTGTAATTTTTAATGTCAAGAATTAAGGAAAGCATAAAAAATACTTAGTAGGCTCAGATGTAAATAATAATTATATTAAATGTAAATCGTGTACAAAAGACATTTCATGTGCTCAGTATTATTTTCAATATTTTGCGGTGTGGTATTTATAATATAATATAATAATTTTGACCTAATTAAATTGATTGATTTTATTGACTTGATTATTAAAAACAGGAACCTTTCTTATAAAGTCTTCAACATCACGTGTGGCATGAATTCCAGGGGTTTATCCTGGGGCTCGGGTTGGAGAATAAATTGCAACCCCTATGTTTATAAAACAAGAAAGAAAAATGCTACAGTTGAAAGTTCAATATACATGTGCATCATCTATCCCCAAACGTCCACCCCTAATGTTATTAACAGTTTATGACAGTGTTTTCATCGGAGACAAAGGTGATTTTGCTTTGTAGCTGGATTCGCTTCTCAGTCATTTAGATGCGGTTTTGGCTTGTTTAGAATTAACTCCTGAACTGGAACGGGTACCACAGCTTCTGAAGATCTATACGACAACCGTCTTCTAGATTGGGTATTGTTTTCAATGTCCCTAGTTTCATGCCCCAGTACTTTAGCCAGCCTCCTAGACTGACACTGATGTTTTGTCTAAACTTTTCTGAGTTCCTGGGATCCGCCATAGTTACGCCATCATAATTGTGGTCTGCAGGGCAAGTTCTTGTAAGTATCAAGAATAGCGTCCGAACCACATACAAATCGTTGTCCGTTGTGTTGGTCAATTATCATGAGTATTCCATGGTAAAGCTTCAAGCCTTTGCTGAACAGCGTGGATTTCCGCTTGTACAATGTACACGACCTGGCGTGGGATTTTTCCACATAAGCGATTTTTTCTTTCGTCACGTGACATTTTTTTGCCTACTGCCCAATTCTGTGAGGGCTCTCTGAAAAAAATAAGGCATCTCAACAAACGAATGAATGTAAAAATGCGCGGGAAACGAAAATCAAAGGCGCCAAAGAAAAATTCAGAAGTGAAATTACAGTACTTACTTCAATGCATTATTCACCT